CTAGAGAGACCAACATACTACCGCCGCGCCGACCGCTACCATAATTATTTTGTCGCATGCCTTTTTATATAAAAATGGTTATTGTGAGTTATCTTTAGAAATGTATACGGATTCAACGGAAATTACGACACGTTTTCTCGTTAGGTATAACCTCAAAATCCGAAAACAAGATTGTACAACCAGTGCGTGTTGCCAGTGATGACTTATGGATCTGAGGCCTGGCCCTTCACTGCTGGACGTATGAGGATGTTATAGGTCGCTCAGCGAGCTATGGAGAGGGCTATGCTAGGGGTTTTTCTGCGTGATAAACTTAGAAATGGGGATATACGCAATAGAATTAGAGTGATTGACATAGCCCAAAGGATTAGTGAGCTGAAGTGACAATGGGCCGGCCATATAGCTCTAAGAACCGAATAACGATGGGGGGAAAAAGGTTCTCGAGTGGCAGCCTCGTTCCGGTAGGCAAAGTGTATTGCGACCCACCACTAGATGTAGTGACGGCTTAGTAGTAAGGCATGCAGGAAGTCGATGGATGCGGGTGGCTCAGGACCATGCTCTGTGGCATTCCTTGGCGGAGGCCTAGAGAAAGAGAGGCGTAATTTTTTCATACCTAGTTATTATATAATATATTATTATTATTATATAATTCTCTGTTTACAGAAGCTGAAAAATAGCTGTTTGTGTGTGAAATTGGGTGACATAAAAGTTAATTGTCTGCTGTATGCTGATGATGCAGTGCTTATTGCACCATCAGAAGCAGAACTGCAGGCATTAGTCACGTGTAGGAAAGAGGAATGTGAAATTAAAGGTCACCGTTTGAATGCTAATAAAACTAAGGTTCTGGTATTTGAAAAGGACGAAGAGAGAACGAAATGTGAAATATGGGTAAATCAGGAATGTCTAGAACAGGTAAATGAAATTGTATACTTGGGGAGTGCTTTCAGCCGGGATGGAAGATGTGATTTAGATGTGGATAGGCGTGTCGCTGCCGGAAACAAAGTCAATGGTGCCCTGAATGCATTAGTCAAAAGGCAAGGCGTGGTGAAGAGTGCACGCCTTGCAATACATAACGCAGTGTTGGTACTGACTTCGTTATATGGCAGCGAAACCTTGGTATGCCAGAAGAAGCATAAAAGCAAGTTGAATGCAGTGGAGATGCGATCTCTTCGTAAAATGTCTGGCGTTACCATAGCCGACCGAAAGCGAAACGAAGAGATTCGCAATATGGCAGGATTGAAAGATGACCTTATCACAAAAATTGATAGGGGCGTACTCCAATGGTTTGGGCACGTTGAACGAATGAGTGAAGACCGAATGGTGAAGAAAATATATAGAGCGAAAGTAAATATTAAAAGGTGTCGAGGTAGACCGAGACTAACTTTCGAAGACCATGTGAGCAAATTGCTCGAAGAGGGGAGGGTCAAGAGTACTCGGATACCTAGACGTGCATGTATGAAGAAGTTAATGAACCTGAAAGAAGCGAAAGAGGTATGTAAGGATCGTGACACTTGGCGATCTGTTCTCTCTGGCTACCCCGTTAGGGATTGTGCGTGAAGATAAGTAAGTAAGTAAAGATTATTCCACCGAATAAAAAACAGCCTCTCCTAGTGCGACCCACCACTAATGTGGACGGCTAGAGTCGGATGCGGGTGCTCAGACCATCTCTGGCATTCCTTGGCGAGGCCTAGAGAGAAAGAGGCATGATTTTTTCATGCCTGTTATTATATAATATATTATTATTATTATTATATAATGTTTTTTTTTGCCTTTTTTAATGACGGCTGCGTGGCGCAGTGGCTTAGCAATGAGTTTCAGCGCTAAGGGGCGCGGGTATGAATCCTGCACGGAACAAGTATTTGTATGGCTAACAAGTAATTGTTTCGGGTCTGGATGTTTGTCCTTGTGCAATTTGTGTTTGTAAACTGCCTCCATGATACCGAAGAAAATCCAAATGTGAAAGTAACGTTTTTTATAAAATAAATAAATATTTTTCACTAACACAGGATAAACTCATTAAGTTACAATAATTATTAATAACAAAGCTAGTCTGTAATAAATATATTTGACAATGTAGCATGGTATATATTATCTATACATAAGCTAGGATCCGAGGTGGCGCCGGAGTTAACTTATTAAGAAATCCGGTTGGTGCCAAAAACAATATCACAAAATTACTACCCCCAACACCACCACACTAAGACTCTGCGGTGGCTTTAGCGGTCAGCCACCGCCGAGTCTACGTCATCTGATGATATCTGGTGTAGAGGCGAAACACATTTATTGTCGACATAGGTGTGTCTTTCCTAGGGTAGTGGTATTGACAGTAGTGGTGACGGGTATATGAACGCAATTAAGAGATGGCTAGAGGTATCCTTCAAACTAGGTACGACAATAATTTTATTTCATGACGCGGATATAAGCAAATTAATTTTACAGATCTTTAATATAATGGACTTCCGCAAAGGGACGTCTGATTCTATTAATTATCTAAAAAAAAAAAATGCTTTTTATTGTCTAAATTAATTTATCATTAGTTGTCTCCCTCACACCAATATTAATGGGTGCGTTTGGCAGAAAAAAGCGCTAGCAAGCGCTTATAAGCGCTAAAATAGTTTTCGGCCAGGACACGATTGCTACTTCAGTAGCGCTGACACAATCCGCCATTTTGCTTATTTAATTTGTTTGTTTTGAAGTAGAGTTTATAAGTTGTTTTGTGCAATATTAGTTTTAAGTAATATATGACATGAATAAACATATACATGCTATTAAAAACTCATGATCATGGTAATTTTTTAATATGAATACTTTACAAACATATATTTAAATTAGGTTAGATTCCCCGGTTAAAACTAACATCGTGTCCTGGAGGAAAATAGCTATTTACGATTTAACAGCGCTTACCGCTTACGATCGCCATTTTGCTTACAAGCGCTTGCAAGCGCTTTTTTCTGCCAAACGCACCCAATGTATCGATGTATGGTGGTGATAATGGCGCGAAAACCTGCCGTGCCAATTTGCATTCCGGCCATTGTTAGCTATGACGACCGAATGCTAATTGATTATATATACGAAACGAAATCGGGTTAGGAATTTATGTGTCGAAATATGACTAGTACAGAGTATAATATAAATTGAAGCCTTAGTTATTTGTCTTGCAATAAGGCTTTTCAGAACCACTCTACATTTAGAAAAGACTGGTCTACTGGAATCTGAAGTAGAAACGAGGGCTGGAATGACTACACGTGTAAAACGATAAATGTCTAAAATCTATACATAATTAAATACGTACAAAATTAAAATATTAATAATATTAATTATTTTATAATTAAATACACTATAGTACGTGAGGGTAATATGGTCATCCGGTTAGTATGGTCACTGTCTTATAACTCAAAAACTACCGCCTTGTTAGCATAGATGGCTTTGTGATACGATAGGTCTTCATCAGTCAATCAAATAATAAAGGGTCAAAAGGGCTATGCTTTATCGACGCCATTTTGACATTTGACATTATAGTAAATATTTTAGTGGATTTTAGTATGGTATAGTGCAGTTAGTTTTTTTTTAAGTAGATTTTTCGAACTGTTCCTAATTATTGCCAAAGCTTGTTTGTAATTTTTTATTAATATATTAGTTATAGTATAAGACTTCGTGTTTTCGTTCTGTCCTTATCCTAGTTTTGGTTTTATAGGACGGCAAGTCTTAAGGTGACCACATTACCATCACATTCCTTATAATAAAACAAAAGAACGGCTTCGAAGTGTTGAACATTAAAGAAAAACAAAAGAACGACTTACAATATAATAAAAGAACAATTATGGAAGAATTTCATGTATTATATTTAGTACGTTTTATTGATGTCTTATCGCGAAAATATCCCAATCAAACCAATACAGGTACGTCATAAACATTGATCAATGGGTGCGTTTGGCAGAAAAAAGCGCTAGCAAGCGCTTGTAAGCAAAATGGCGATCGTAAGCGGTAAGCGCTGTCAAATCGTAAGTAGCTATTTTTCTCCAGGACACGATGTTAGTTTTAACCGGGGAACTTAACCTAATTTAAATATATGTTTGTAAAGTATTCATATCAAAAACTTACCAAACATGAATTTTTAATAACATGTATATGTTTATTCATGTCATTATATTACTTAAAACTAATATTGCACAAAACAGCTTATAAACTCTAGTTCAAAACAAACAAATTAAATAAGCAAAATGGCGGATTGTGTCAGCGCTACTGAAGTAGCAATCGTGTCCTGGCCGAAAAATATTTCAGCGCTTATAAGCGCTTGCTAGCGCTTTTTTCTACCAAACGCACCAAATGTGTGTATGCGGCATAGAGAAATTACTTTTATTATCATTAATTATATTATTTTTATTATCATGAATGGAGATTATTGGTAACATAATTTTAAATTGAAAGAGATAATTCAAAACACCAAATGTGATTTTGAAAAATGATTAAAACTTTACACGCCAATATATTTTTCAATCCCAATTCAGTGTAGGTACCCATTAATTTAATTTTTTTTAAATAATTCTTCCACCATTGTTTTTCATATTCCCATTGTACTCATACCATTCGTATATTTATTGCACTTTTATGTGCACATTACGTCATTTTATACTTTTTATAACTAAAACAAAGGTCATTATTACAAGCGTCAACACCGCCAAGACAGAAGATATTTTTTTCTTTTTCCCCACGCTTCAAATTATATACAATATTTTGTGTTTACTTAATAAATAAAAACAAATTAATTCTTTGTGAAATATTTTGCTATTATGTATTAGTTTTATTGATTTTATGTTTTTCCTGCCAAAATTAGCAAAACGGAACACATTGTTATAAAATTATCATAAGCATAAGTTTTAATTACTGGCAACTTGTAAAAATAATAATAAAAAACATAATTGTGTAATAATAATTTGTTCGTGATAAATAAAATGATCGTTGTTTTTAAATTTAGAACGGTTTTTAACTTATTGAATACTCACCGGTGTTCGCCTATGAAGTAGGGTGCCAACAGGGCTTGGTATCTTAGTAGGTGTGCCGCCATGCGGGCTCCGGGCTGTAACAGAAAGTTGATTCAATAAAAAATCAATATATTCGGATCACTTAACGAGTATAGAAGTGAACGTAGAGTAAGTACATTATGTATTTTTACTCTGTAAAATACATAATGTACTCTACGTAGGTGTATTTTAACAGAGTTAAAGACATAGTGTAATCTACGTTCAGCCTATTAAAAGTTCACTGATGCACGTAAACTTCCCCAGTAGGCTTATACGGCGGATATTTGCCATTGTTGCCACGCTTGGTAATCGCTGTTTTTTTATTTTTATATTGCCCATCTCCTGATATGTTTACCTCTATTATCTTTTACGACACTCACGGGACGATACAGGATAGAGGATATTCTTACACCGCCATAGAGGATATGCCACACGGTCAACTTTTGACTGTTTTAATGTATTGGTATCTCAAATCGATTCATACAAATTTACTTCTTAGATCTACGTCGTAGTGTTTAAGGACTACAATGGCTCAGAATTTCACGTGGTAGAGCCACAGAATACCAGCGTAAAATAGCAGCTTAATGCGGTTAGGTTGCGTACAGTGAGCGTAAAGGACGCGAGAATCATTTTATTGGAAACACAAGACATTCCATCTAAGTCTAAGTTCTACGGGGTGACAAAGCATCTGCATTTTGATTCTTAATTGAGGATTAATGTAGATTTCTACGGACCACAGCATCCAGTTACTATCAGATGGACTGCGTGCTCGTTTGTCACCCTTATTCTATTTAAAAAAATACATCCACTTTCAAACCTAAAATATAAGTTTTCTGTCGGCTCATTATTTTGCAAACCTCGAAATCGAATCAAAAAAGCTTTACTGTCGACTTGACTGGTCAAGCTACCGCACTCATTAAAGCGTTGGTTTATTATTTTTAGTACCCGGGTGACCGAGCTTAGCTCGTTTTTTTTTTTTAAGTTACATTTAGATACAAATTACATGAATAATATTTTTTGATCTTATTGACATAATAGAAAAAACTGAACTGGTTATTTGAATGAAAATCATGAGTGCAATTAGTTTAATTAAAATTTTTCTTATTTTTAAAAATTTTTAAAAAAGGGCTCGAAATAATAGATTTTCTCACAAAAGAAGGGAATTTGAAAAAAAAAAAGAAAAAAAGTCTGACCCAAGACGAGACGCGAACCACGGAACTCCGATATCACGCCCGACCGACATCCCACCTGAGCTATTACGATCGTTAGTAGTCTGTCAAAATTTACCTTCTTATATTGTAGCAGTTTTTTATTGCCTGAAAACACGGACAAAAGGACATTTTCTAAAAATTAATCCTAGCTAGATCGATTTATTGCCCCCGAAACTCCCTGGACACTAAATTTTATGAAAATCGTTGGAGCCGTTTCCGAGATTCCGATTATATATATATATATATATATATATATATATATATATATATATATATATATATATATATATATAAGAATTGCTCGTTTAAAGGTATAGGATATCGCACTTATATACTCACAGACCAGCGTAAAATAGCAGCTTAATACTGCTGTGTTTCGTATGGTGGGTGTAGAGAGCTGGAGACCCTTTTTCACTGGAAACGAGGCATTCCATCTTAGTCCTCAGGTGTGGCATCTGCATTTTGATCACTGATTCATGATATATTAAGATGTCATATGGAATGTCTCGTTTCCAATAAAAAGATTCTCGCGTCCTCTACACTTAGTGTACGCAACACAACCACATTAAGCTGCTATTTTACGCAGGTATTCTGTGAGAGCATGGCCGTACCCCAATCGAGCCGACCCATTCGTGCTACAACCGTAATATAGCTGCTGCTTGGCTCTACCACGTGTTATAAAGAATAACCTAGGCTACTTTTATTTTCGGAAAAAGAATTGGCGTTCCGCGCAAAAACATCAAAAGCCATAAAATTCAATCCTATTTAAATCTACGCATAGTCGCGGGTCACAGCTAGTATATAATATGATTGTTGTCAAACACTAGCTCATAAGTTAAAAAAAAATAATTGTATGTAGTTTCTAGGAAATGGACTGTCTATTATAGTGGAGCAATTACCGACGCGAAAGCGGTATGCCCCAGTGGTCTGGTCATATTATACATAATAACATTACACTGCGACTCGGTAGCGACTTCGAATACTATATAATTTACACATTTTGCAATGAGTGTTTTACGTGGTAGAGCCATGCGGCAACTATTTTAGTATTATAGTTGTAGCACGAATTGGTCGGCTCGACCGGGGAAGGACCACGCTCTCACAGAATACCAGCTTAAAATAGCAGCTTAACGCTGCTGTGTTTTGTATAGTGAGAGTAGAGAACTGGAGAGCCTTTTTACTGGAAACGAGGCATTCCATCATAGTCCTCACGGGTGACAACGCATCTGCATTTTACTCTCAATCGATGAACAATGTAGATGTCTATGGGCCACAGCATCCACTTACTATCAGGTGGGACTGTGTGGCACACAGTCCACCTGATGGTAAGTGGATGTTAATTTTTTTTTATTTTACGTTTTTTATATATACACATTGTGTGCTCGTTCGTAACCCTTATGCTATATTCAAAAAACGTAAAATAATTTTTTTTTAACTACGGTGTACACACAATCCGTACCTACGTGGCAGCAATGTATAGTCCATGATCGTATTAATTTATTCAACATTTTTGGCTTTAACAAAGCGGCTTTAACTATCTTACTGCGACATATATTATATATCATCATATATCTAAAATATGAACATGAAGTCTATGGTCAGAAGTGGAGTTTTGATAGGCTATAACGTTAGAGATACATATACTAACAGGAGTAATAAAAAACTGGTCGAGTACGTGTTTGACACGTGTTTGGGTTCCGCTGCACACATTATATCTAATATTTTAGCTGACTTTAAAAGAAAAGAAGAACTTTAAGATTCGACTGTTATATTTTGTTGATTGTTTTTGAAGTAAAACTTCTTTACGCACGCTTGACTTGGCGAGTAAGCTGGCGAACGCGTGACGAAAGCGTTACTAAAAGTGTGATCGGGCGAGGCGAACGGGAGTTGAGTGGGGGATATAAGCAAGAGGGAGCAGTGCACGCGCACTGCTCCCTGTGTCTCATAGCCAGTTATTTTTCGTAATTTTATTTCGTTTCGAACAATTTTATGAGTTAATATTTTGTTCAATATATTAAATATGATACGTTTAAAGTGAATAAAATGTAAAAAATGTGTAAATTCATTTTAAAGTTCATGTTTTATGACATTTCCGGTGAATTATAACAAATTATAGAAGGAAGCCAATAACAAATTTAAATATTTGCAGAAAATTAATATATGTATATGTATACACATATATATAGATGGAGCTAAAGAAGTTTTACTTCAGTCCTGTGGTCATAAGCACACTCGTTTTTTTTTAAATTAAATAGGTAATCCTTTAATGTGATAACCATATAAATTTGGAGAAAAAATTCCTCCCGTAAGGTAAAATACCCCTTTATGCCAATAGGGGATGCAGTTTTTGATTTAGACGACTTTGCGATTACGGTATTATTAAGTTCACTCAAAAAGGTAAAAGAAATATATTTTAATGCTTCATAACTTTTATGTTACTTGTGTATAGTTCTAAGTTTTTTGGTGATCTTTTCTGTACATTTTTAACAACCATGAGTGAATTAAGAGAAATAAAAAACTTTATAATTACTATCTATGCAAATAAATACAACTGAAATGTTAGTTTGTAATTTCAAAATAACAGCTTTTCAATAGATGCGAATAAAAGTATTTTTTTTTATAGAAGAGGGGGCAAACGAGCATGCGGCAAACCTGATGTTAAGTGATTACCGCCGCCCATGATTAAACGCAACACCAGGGGAATTGCAGGTGCGTTGCCGGAAAACTCCTTTTGAAACGTACCGTTGTGGACCGCCAAGCATCCAGATGGTGTGGATGGTATCTGGACGTTTGCCGCGCAGGGCGTTCACGAAATTTGGCGGCTGGGATTAATCCGAACAATTCCTCAGAGCACTCCCCATGGTATATGCGAAAGAAAATGCAAAGAGATGCAACATCTCTTCGGAGCGCCAGTGAATCGAGTTGATCGGAAAGTACTCGGTCGTCGACGATTCGAGCCGCTCTGCGCTGGATGCGGTCAAGTGGAAGAAGCTGGTACTGGGCAGCCCCAGCCCAGAGATGGGAACAGTATTCCATGTGCGGCCGAACCTGCGCCTTAGAGCAGGCGGTGTGCCGGCATGAAATACTGTCCTGCTTTGCTGAGCACGCCAAGCTTTTTAGAGGCCAATTTGGCCTTATCTTCCAACTGACCACGAAACTGCACGTCACTCGATATGTCGACGCCGAGGATTCCGATACTGGCTGAGGCAACAAGTGGAGTGCCTTGAAACTGAGGAGATACGACAAAGGGGTTCTTTTTAGCGGTTAACGCGCAAACTTGTGTCTTCTGGGGGTTAAACTGGACTAGATTTAGTCGCCCCCAATCCGAGACTCTATTCAGCAAAGACTCGACTTCAGACACAAGTTTGTCCTGGTATATACGATACTTATATCAAAAACATATTTTCTTAAAATTTATCTGTCCGTCTATCTGTCTGTCTGCTTGTTCCGGCTGATCTCCGAAACGGCTGGACTGATTTTAACCGGACTTTCACTGGCAGATAGGTGATGTTATAAGAAATAACTTAGGCTACTCTTATTACAGAAAAATATGCAGTATAGGTTATAATTTTCAACCAACTTCAAAAAAGGAGGAGGTTCTCAATCGGACTGTATTTGTTTATGTGTGTTACCTCAAAACTTTTTTCTGGGTGAACCGATTTTGATAATTCTTTTTTATTTGAAAGGTGGTGCTTTTCACGTGGTCTCATATAAATATGATCAAGATTTGACCAGTATTTTTTGAGTTATCGTTAATAATGCTTATTTGACTTCGAATACATTGATGATGTTTTCATTTTATTACATTGAAGTCTGTTGCAAAAAGTTTTCAATTTTACCACTTG